AGAGGCAAAATCATCTTGGACATCCACCAAGGAGGCTGAAGGCAAAAGGTCTGTCATGTGGCTATGGTCGGCTTGAAAGGCTAGAGGCCCAGATAGGCCAGCATTCAGACGTTGCATCTGACTCAGCTCTGCCAGTGGGCATGCCCCCGTTGAATTGATAGGCCGGGCTGCTGTGGCTGTTCCAATTGGCATCCCAGGCTCTCCGCTCGGCTGCTGTACGAGGCATGATAGGCTGATGGGCTATAGCAGGAGATCAAAGGTATGACTTTTGAGCACACTCGCTGTGACACAGCACGTGATCTGAAAACGTGTGCTGCATGCTGAGGGAGGGCTGAGCTTGGGGCTCAGCCACGCAGAGGCAAAGGCTTCAGACCTGAAACGGCAATGGCATAGCTGTGGCCCGTGCTTGATCGGCTATGTTGGCTAGAAGCAAGGCTCTCCAATCTTCGAAGTCTAGGCACAAATAGGAGAACTGAGTAGGGCTGAGTGCCGAACAAGATGTCGGGAAGATTGTAACCTGAGGCCGATAGGCGGAAGGCTAAAGGTCTGTGAGCGACCTGGCGATGGAGGCCTTCCCTGCACATGAATTGAGGTCTTAAGGTGAGAACGGCAAACTGAGGCTGTGACACATCACGCGGGCCTGTCGGGGCTATCGGCGAACTGGCGTGTGCAGGGCTAGAGTCTGAGGCTGATCCCTCGCTGGAGGGAAAGAAACGCAGATCATCTTGGTCTATGCGAGCGAAACCTGTAGCTTCGAGGCTAGGCAGGCTCTCGGCTGAGAGAAACCTGACAAATCATCCTGATCGAAGCCGGACTAACGCACTAGCAATCGGTGAAAGAAAGCCTGCAGTGGGCAAAGCAGTCTCGGAATGGGACAGGTTCTGGAAGTCGTAGCCAACATGACAGTCAAGTGCGGCAGCTTCCAGGTCCCTCCGGCCTCCAAGTCTTCTAATAGTTCCAAAAAAGCAAACGCTTGTTGCGCCAGAAGCTCTGAAGGTGAACAAAGGCAAGCTAACCTTCGAATCTTATTAAGAAAGAGTTTCTGCGGTTTCAGATTAGACACATTAGTAAAAAGGTGCAAATGATATTTACGGCTTCCACTTTGAGCGAAAGTCCGCAAAAAAGTGCTAACTTTGATTCAAAATTCCAATAAGTGCTGACGCTCCTCGGTGGAAGCAGATCTTTTGTTCGCTGCATGGCTACGGAACGTCTTCCAACTTCCACGCCTAAGCAGTAAGAGCGGAGTCGAGAAGTGAGCGCTGGCAACCGGATCTTTCCATGCGCGCTTCCAGAATGACCATGGAAGACTTGGAGATTGTAGATTTTGTCCCTACAAGTACTTTTTATATCGCTCGAAAAAGATCCACCCCAAAATCCGCAAATCGGCTCTCACAGCTTTAACATCTGTGCAACGAAGATGGCAGCCAGTCTTGCCCTCCATCTCGAAAGAGATTCTGTCCAGTTTCTGATCTTGCCATGCTTGACGAGCAGCCTAGATGCGAAGTCACGTGGGGTAACTTTGCATGCGGATTGACTTACTCCTGGAGCCTTTTCACGCTGGGAGGGCCGGCGCTGCGGCGCCTTTAGCTGCCTGTAATGCGTCCATCTTGGGATGGATGTGGAAGCGATTCAGCACCGGAGATCGGCATCCTCCGTGGAGATTCCGGTAGGACCCACAAGGAGGCGAGCTGAGCTTCTTTTCAGACGCAAAAGCTGAGAAGGGGAGCGCTTGGATGGGCGGCTCTTGGGACACTCATCTGCGTGAACTAGAGCCAAAGCCACCTCACGAGGAGTACGGACAACCAGGAGACTCTTACGCAGTTTCCAAGCTGATGTCTGCGCGATTTCAGCTGTCTTTCTTGTTGATGATCTCTCGGAGACTTGAGGCAGGGAAATCAGGTGCTGGACTTGAGCTGGGTCCCACGTGAGAAAAATGAGTGGGCCGATGATTTGACGAACCACTCCGAGAGAAGGCCACTCATTGACGGGGTCCAGATTGATTGGATCATCTTGGGCGATCTGCTTCGACTTTCCATGAGGACTTGATTCAAGCCAAGGCCGCGAAACGAAGCAACGAAGCGGATCGGGATGCGCGGGGCAGAAAGAGGGCTCGCACCAAATGGTGAGTATCCCATTCGGCCACGGCGTTGCATGGATGATCGGCACATCTCTTGACTTGAAAACCTGGTGGGCCGTCTTTCGCCAAAGGCGCAACGGCATGATGATCTCGAGATGTGGCTTTCGCCGAATGGGAATTCCGATCCATCTATGGGCAAAACATTTGTGCGCTTCTTTATTGCAGTCATGTCAGTTGCCACATGTGTGAGCGTTGAAAGTGCTTCCTTGCAATCATGTCAGTTGCCACATGTGTGAGCGTTGGAGCTGTCTGCGATTTCATATGAAATATATTTCGGATTGTTTCAATATATCTGTATTTGTACCCCACTTTGTGGATACTTTTGAATCCCGGATTCCCCGGCTTTTTTTTACTCCGGGTGGTCTAAAGGGGTGGTTGGTGGGATGGATTTGGTGGGCACGCACTCCATGTTCCGTCAAACTTCAAAAAGTAGCTGAAGGGGGCATGCTCCATCATCGTTCGGCGAAGGGAGCCCCGCTTACCGATAACAAAGAAAAAGATTGCCAATCACCACCCTTCTCAACAAGCTGAGAGGCTGCCTGCTTCTCAGGTTCAGTTGCTAAGAACTAATTTTTCGATTGCGTCCAGATATCGAGGTCACGCGGTTCCCGCCTTCTAAAAACGCGGAAACCAAGATGTTCTGGAGCTGGCTTTTTTCTGCTGGAGAAAGCTCCAGGCTTTTGCAATCAGCATCCACACAGCAGTGCCAATTATTGGTGCGCTGCGCCAAAACTGTTGTGCCAGTTCCACAGGATCCGTCTGCCTTTGCGCTGCGCGTGTGATGTAGGAAAAAGTTAAAGAACTCCACGTGACTTTTTTTGTTGTGTTTCAAACATTGAACACGACTTTCTCACACACACCCACCCACCCGTGTGCCCAAAAACCCCACTCTGCAGCCGGACTTTACGATTCTGAGCAGCATCGCCTGCCTGCTTTGGAGCAGCACCCGTGGAAACAGAATGCGCTTTTTGTCTGCTTTTGCGTGTTTTTGAGAGACGCTTCACGTGATTGTTTTCCTTTTTGTGTCATTGTGGTCTTGTCTATTGCGTGCATGAGCCAGACACCGTGGAAAATGCCTTGTTACACATGTAACGAGAGGCATGGACATGAAAGTTTCTGCAGCCGGACTCCATCTGAGCACCCGTGGAAATGGAATGCGCCTTTCGTCTGCCTTTTGCATGTGCTGCACATGTGACAAGCGTACATGAACATTGTTCGAGAACGCTCCACGTGTTTTTTCTTTTTCATGTCATGTGGTGTGGTGTTCTCCAACATGTTGTTTGCACGCATTGGCAACATGGCCTATTCATGTCGCTTCTCGGCTGCAGCATGCACATGCATTTTCACACACCGCACCCGAATGCTCCTTTCGTCTGCTTTTTGCATGCTGCGCATGTGACGAGAGTACATGAACATGATTAGAAAACTTGCCAATGCCTGCCGATCCAACTTGGCCAGCAAGAGTGCTTGAAACGGTAGAGCAACCTCTACAACATGGTATTTCGTCCCTGATTCAACTTTCCGGTGTACGAAGGCGACTCCAACTTCGTGTACCTTGATATAACATTTTATGCTCGACAGGCAAAGCTTGAAAAAATTGAGTTGTAGCGGTTCGGGGTGCCAACACCATCGTCCCACTGACAAGGAAGACGACGGCAACTGATGTCGAACACAGGGTGCTTTGCAAAAAAATGGGATCAACCTCCTTGCACCGGTCATACACACACCCACCGGCCTCGAAGTGCATGCTTATTGATTGGGGTTGCGACTCCCGGAGCAGACAGCATTACGACGGCCGGATAGAGCTGGTGACTTCCCCAAATCGATGAAGCATGTGAACAGTACAGTGTTGATGAAGCTTCCAGGCTCGCTTTGAAAACATGTGAGTGACAACGGGATTCTGTGGTCATCTTGGTCATGGTACTATTCCACCGCCTAGTACGCACAACTTTAGCAACAGCTTAGAGGTGGAGAAGTTCGCGTGTTGATTTTCTCGACCGTTTGAGTCCGGTAGTGTTAGCCATGGCGACTACTTCAGCCGCTCGGGGCCCATCCGTGTGCAGCTCAGCAAACTCATTTTCTGTGCAGTTGTGGATGTGTTTCTTGCACACATCTTGGGTTTGAGGTTCATGGCGGTATGCTCGGCCTCACAGAGGCGGTTCGAAACACGGCGAAGTCAGGGGTCTCTTGCAGATCGAGTAGTGGCAGGACATAGACATGGAAGACGTTAAAGAAGAGGCCGGAAGAGAAGATGCGAGGCACTTACGGCATGATCTGCCTACTGAAACTGGGAGGCAGTTAATCCGCCTAGCAAGTCCAGAAAGCCAAAGCTGACGTCGGAGCCTCGCAAAGGTTGAGCGCTCGTGAACTGCACATTCTAGAGCCTACAACTCGAAACCTCAGCCTGACTCCTGGACAACAGGCTCGAGCACTTCTTTCAGGAGGCTGGCCTGAAGAAGGCCAGATCGTATATTGCAAAACGAAAATGGGGCGTGCCCAAGCGAGAGGTCATCGGCGATTGTGCCAAGCTGGAGTTCAAGGGGGAAGGCCACGAGTTCGAGGATTTGAAGGTGCTCCTTTAAGGGAATGGGAGAGAGAATGAGCAACAAAAACATGGAAGGATGGGCATTTGTTACATGGAATCACACACATAAGGTACTGATGGCCACGTACAAGAGGTGGTTCAGGGAGATCTATCCCTACGAGGAGCCTTCGGAGCGTCAGGCCTGGGATAACGCTGATTTTGTTTTTGGCAGGACAACTTCGAGGATTTGATTTGGAAATCCCGCACAGTTCTGGCGCACAAGGAGATCGTTCAGTCCGTGTGACGCTATGTCAGCTGGGCCTGCACGGCAGGAGCCGGACTGCGACCCTCGTGAAGAGCTGCACAAGTCCGCCGCCTTGGACGTCATTTTTGCAGTGCCTCCTGCCAGCGCCTGACCAGGCTCAGACTTTGGTACAAGAAGTCGACGAGTCAGGTCGGCAACCATCTTGAAGTCGCATCTTTTGCAGTTCCCTTTGCGATGGTTTGTGTAGGCTGCAGAACCAACGAAAGAGGAGGCCAGCTGTGAGGTTCAGCATCACCAGAGTCTCGATGTTTCGCGCATGACAGGTCGGCAGTCTCGAGCTGGACCCAGAAGTTGCCAAGCGTGCCTGCAGCTGAGACTTTAGCTGTGGCCCCGGATAGTGTCGGTCGTCGGGGGTGTGGACGCCAGGTTGCTGAGAATCGTGCTCGAGCGCTCGAGCGGAAGAGGCTCTGGAGATGCCATGCCTGGTGCGCTTTGTGGGCTCAAGACCGACCGCGAGGCAGCGTGAGGCGGCCGTGGAGGAAGCCCAAGAAGAAGCGATGGCCGCGCAGGCCGCGCAGGCCGCGCAGTCGCAAGCGGAGCCCGACTTCGAGGCGCGAAAAGGATGGAAGCTCAGAGTTGTGCCAGAGTCTTGTGGCCATTTGCCAGGAGGAAGATGCCCGGAGCCGATCTCAGAGTGTCTACCTGGGAGCCGTAGCTGCACATCATCCGAGGTTTTCGGCTTCGGCGGCATGGAGTAGACCTGAGATCAATTGGAAAGGATGTGCTCGCCAACATCCGCAATATTGGGGTGTCTGGGGTCTGGGGAAGCCCTGATGGCAGAAGCGAGAAAAGTCAAGACAGGCTGAGGCTGCTTGTTATTGGTGCTTACTGAGACGCAAGGGGCATCTTCAGCCACATCTGACGGCTCATCGGCAAGCTTTTGCTGCTTAGAGTACAGCTTGTCAAGCCGCTTCCCAGCAAGCACGCAAATCGCCAGCCGAAGGTGCATTGGTGACTCCAACGTTACGTCCGCAATAATACTATATGTACTAAGAAGAAGCCATGTCACTCAATGTGGTGGGACAGCAAGACCGCTGAATGCAAACAGCAAGTGTTGCAAGCGACATGACAAGCTTAGCATGTGCAGGCACACACAGTCTCATAGCTCCACCACCACCAACTCCAGTTCCCTTCCCCGATGATGCAGACGGAACATGGGCTGCCTGATGTGGGCAGCCATGGCATCTGGCTGGACTTTGAGGAAAGTCGTGCTGTAGCTATGATCACGCATCTTTGATGCTTGGTACTGTCTTGGCTGCTCGAAGGACTTTGTGTCCTGCGATGACAAACTACAGGAGGTGCTGTGCTGTGTCATCTGTCTTGGTGGCAGCAGCGGGTTTCCGCCTTTGCCAGGACGACCTCCGTTCGCTCAGCTTTCCGAGCAACTGGCAGTGGCCCAATCATGAATTGATAGGCGAGAGGCGGGTGTGACAGGCTCCCTGTGGCGCTCGCTCGCTCGCTCGCTCGCTCGCTCGCTCGCTCGCTCACTCGCTCGCTCTCTCGCTCTCTCGCTCTCGCTCTGTCGCCCTCTCCCTCGCGCTCTTTCTATCTTCAAGGCCTGCGGCCTACCAGAGCGATGCCTTGAGGGCATTAATCGGTGGCTGGCCCAGAATTGCAGGGCTGTTGATCCGTGAAGACTGTTAAACACAGAGAATGCAGCCCGGCATCCCAGGAAAGCGTGGCCGGTTGCCAGGCTGGAGTTGTGAAATCGAGGGAACTCATTTCCACGGCTTTAAGCTTGTCTTTGTCCTCAGCTCTGCTGACATGGGGCTCGTCTGCTACAGACCTGGCTCGAGGCAAGCGCGTCGCGGTGGCTGGCGAGCCTTCACCAGCAGAGCAGGCCAGTCGTCTACGACCTCGGCTGCTGTTACGACTAAACACCAGCAGCAAAAACGACGACAATAAGAATTCCTCCTCCTCCCACAACTGCTAAGCCTACTGCTGCTGACACGACTGGTCACGGCTCAAGCATTACTTTGGCCCAAGGCTGCATGCACAGTATCCACGACTCAGCATGCGCACGCTGCCGAATCACTCGCCGCTGCTCGCTCCTAAGCCCGTTGAACATACGGCACGTCGCATGTTCAGCAAACAGTAAGAATTACAGGGCAGTGTGGAGTGCCACGCCATGGCGGCTCAGAAAAAAGAGAAGAATCCTTTCCTCCCCGACCAGGGTCAATCTTGCTGGATTTGGTTCGCACCGAAGACTGGGAAGACTGACGAGAAGCCCTCAACCCGGGATGCTGCTGCCCTGCCCCACAACGCAGCAGCCCACGAGGCCAGACTGCAAAAAGGACTCTGGGGCAAGAAGGCCTATCGGCTGTCCCCGGCCGTCTTCGTTGCAGATGCCCTCGATGGCATGGCCTTGGTCAGGGAGCGCAGCGCCACGGGCATGGGAAGCATCAAGGTCAAAGCCGGGCTGATCCTGCCTTGGTACGAGGGCCTCCTGGTCCTGGAAGAGTTGATTCGGCAGAATGAAAACGAGGACAGCTGCTCCTGGGTCACCGAATTACTCGATGTGATATTAAAGGAGAAGTCACAGAGAAATATCAGTGCCAGCCTTTACGTCAGCAAGAGTCTGCTGAACGCTGCTGTCACAGGGCCTACCTTCGTTACTCGGGAAGGCCGACTCGTGGCCCACAGGCGAAGCCCGCTTCGAGATGACAGCCAGCTGACAGAAGCCGAGGTTTCTCCACCCGGTTGGTATAGGGTGGATAGGCTCGAGAGGTACCTCCCGCCATGGGAGGCCTTCGCCCATCCCAAGTGCGGGCTCTACCAAGACTTCTACCTGGTGCAGTGGAGCCCTCCTCTGGAAATGGAGAGCTTTGAAGACACCCCTCAAGGGGAGCCTGGCTTTCCAAAGTGCACCTGGGAGCCCGATGAATGCCTGCCGGACGACCTGGATGCTCTGCGCATCTCTGCGAAGAAGCGGTGGTTGGAGGGGCAGAAGGAGCGCGAGAAAAAGGTCACCCGAAATCCAAGCTTCACCGACGACAGCAAGGAACAGGCCCGTGGCACAAAGCGAATGGCAAACGGCGATGTAGCGGAAACGGCGAAGGCAAAGTTCCGTGATGTTTCCGGCAAGGTGCTTCACGGGCTCCGGGAGGAGCTAAAGCCGGAGATCAGCGAGGAAGAGAAGGGCCGAATCAAAGACGGGTGGCCCAAACATGAAGGAGAATACCCCCCGGGCTATGGCCCAGCTATGCCGCCGGGCTTCTGTCAACAGGAGTGCCGGTGTATGGAGGATTGGCATGTCGGCGAAGTGGACCTTGGCAGGACCTGGCTAAAAAATGCCCTCAGGGATCAGGCAGTCGAAAGGGCTGTGAGCGGCTTCAAGTTGCAGGGGCAGATGCTGCGAATAAGAGGGGAATATACCGGCCATGCTTTCCTCGAGCCACGGCCACTTCAGGCTGGCGCAGAGTTCGTACTGTCCGGCTTCCACAGGCAAAGGCAAGCTGCGAGCCAGGTAGCCATGGTCGTCATCCAGTGCGTGAAGCAAGCGGTGATCCCGTTACCACTGGCGGCAGCTCTGGATGCAAGCGCTGGGGACCTTTTGCATTCCCTCTACATCTTGGACGAAAGCAAGGACGAAGGCCCAGAAGACGACGGCCACGCAGGTGGCCCGTTCGAGCCGCTCAGGTTCGAGAAGCTCTCCGGCCCAGACTGGATCCTGGTCGATCAGAGCACAGGGCGTATTGCCACGATTGCGAAGGACACGCCACGTGCTTTTAAGGCCGACAGCTTCACCGTGGCCGTCGACTTCTGCGGTGTCGTGAAGCGTTGGCGCATGGACCTGAAGATCGGACCTAACAAGCCTTCTGTGCCAGAGAATCTCCGGACGTGTACGGCCCAAATCATGGATGTGCTCGGCCAGGTGCCGCAGCTGAAAGAGAAGTGCATCGAAATGATCAAGCCCGTGTACGACGACCAAAGCAAATCTGTTCGGAAGAAGGTTACACTAGCACATTGGCTTCGACAGATGAAGAAGGTCTACATCATGGCCCGGGCATTTTCCTCCATGTCTCGCCTGAAGCCTCTGCCCCCGACCCCAGCCCGGTGAGCGAAAAAAAACATGGGGCTTCGTTGCTGACGTTGTTAAAAAAGTTCAGTGTGCTGAACTGACGAGTGCAGGTTGCTGGTGTCACGTCGGGAACATAGTGACTATAGTGGAGAGTCTGTTGACTGCGACGGGGGATGTCAATGCTGGCCTTCAGGTGCTATCCGCTGCAAAGCTTCAGCAATGCTGAGCAGCTGTCAGCGAAGCTGCGCCCCCAGCTACCGGTGAGAGCGAGTGCTGCAAGTTTCAGTCTCCTAGATCGCGGCTGGGCCTCGTGCGTGGCTGGGCCGTGTACGAGCGTGGCGACCGGCCCGGACACTTTGCTTGGAACCTCAGAATATCTGCGAAAACAGTAAGAAAGCTCACTCTGGCCAGAACAACACGTTCACTGCAAACATCCTCTTTGTGTAGCTTGTTTTGCGTGCTTGGCACATGCAAGGTCGCAGAGCGGTATTGGTGGAACTGTCATCCGGACGGACGGTGGGTCGATCTCACCCCGCGCCCAGAGGCCCATGGGCACATGATGATGGGGGTGAGATTTGTGGTTGCAAGAGTTTGAGTTGAAGAATGGGGCAGGACCGAGGTTATCGCGTAGAGTCGGCATAGAGGCTTAGGCGACTTGTTCCATGAAAGCAGGAGGCCACTGTTGTTTCATGGCTTTCTCCATTGCCAGGGTCTCCAAGAGCTGCTGCTGGTGGAAGCCCCCGGCAGCGACAAGCGGCGGGGTGCTTCGACGTCCGTGCAGGCGCTGTCTTGAAGACTCGATAGCAGAATCCATGTTTAGAGGGGTCAGACTCCGACGGACGTGTGATTGTCGAGAGGTAGGTCGTTTTTTGTGTCGCGCCAGGCGGACTTTGCTCGTCGGCTCCTCACTTGGCGATTTCCGAAGTTAGCTGCCAGCATTGCGGCGGTGGGACGGCCCGCACAGCCCGCGCAATCACAGCCAGCAAAGCCTGTGCAACCATCGCAGCCGCCATCGCGACAGACGGCGAAGGCCTGAACTCGGAAGATCATAAGTCTTGAAGGGAAACCTGCAACCCTCATACTCGGAAGATCATAAGTTTACACAAGTCTTGCAGACAGCTGCTCTGTTGTCTTGGGCACGATGTGTTCGCAGGTTTTGGATTATTCGAAGTGGAGCAACATCGTGCCCCACCCAGATTTTCGGATTTCACGTAGTGGCCAGGCATTTAAAATCGAAAATCTGTGCAATTTGCTTTTGATGCAGTTTGTATGAACTAGGTCGACTCAGATGAAGAGGAGGCTCCACAGCGGAAGGAAGATGAAGCAGATGTGGGGGTCAAGGAGCAAGTGTCGAAGGCAGCTCCCTGACTCCCCCTCGCATTGAGATGTTGGTTGCGAGGACTTGGCAGAGGGGAAGACAAAGAAGAAACCTGTTCTTCCTGTGCCTGACTTCCTCCAGGGCAGCACTGCTGGAGGAGGCTGGAGTAGATTTTTTGCGCCATGCGATGACTGGGACCATGCGATGATAAGGTCTCATGTCTACGGAGAAATGCCGTGTACGCATGACGCAGAACCACGTGGCCATGAGTGCTGCAGGTGGCACGAATTGCCTGCTCTCCTTGTTGAAGCTGCTAGATGCTGAAGAGAAGAAGGAGGACTGAACGGCAGCAGATTGGAAGCAAAAGTCATCTTTTTGTTTGGTCCAAGGCTTGGGGGTCAGAATTTTTGCAGTGCCTTCAGAGGATCACGCGCACAGCTTGGCCCAGGCCGGCCTTCTGCTCCACAAGAGACAAAACGAGAGGAAGGAGTGTTGGGCTTTCATAAAGCAGGTCTTCGGCCGCAGCTTCCACTCCGCAATGCTGGACCGACCAAGGCAGCTGTCGAGAATTTTAGAAGTGATTCTCGATGCGCGTTGCTAGTGACTACCGCCATTCTGCAAGGCAGAGTTTCTACAAGCGTGCCCTAGCCAGCTTGGACAAGGCAGTGGTGTTGCAGCTGTTAGTTCAGTGTGCTTCGTGAGTCCCAGGACGTCTTCGTGGTTGCAGCCCCGGAAGACGCAAATTTTCAAGGGCGGATTTTCGTACGACTTCTCCGAGGTGGTGCTCGGGATTGGCTCGGTCATGCCGCTGTTGGAAGCCGCCCGCAACTTCCGCGGGATCCTGCTGGAGACGCCGGGTGCCCAGTAGGCCTCAGGTTACTACGTAGTTTGCGAAACATGGCCAACAGGGTTCAGCTCGCCTTTCAGGTCGACCAAGCTGGCAGAGGCGAGCTATTTTTGCAGCCTGCACAACCTGTTGCGGGAATAGACTCAGACGAGGTGGCAGAGCAACTCCTCAAAGCCAACAAACTCAGTTTTCCGATTGCTGTGCCTTGGTGGCATGGCTTCATAGTTAGTTTCAATCTTCACAACATGCTGCTGCAAGAAGCATCCAGAAGTGAACACCTGAGGTGATCAAAGAAGGCTTGGACAACGTCCGGGCCCTGTCTCAGCAATGCATAGGACTATAGGACCCGGTGATTGGGCAGAATCCCAGGCAGAGGCTGTCCGGGACACGATCTCGAGGTGCACTGTGGAACGACTTTGTTCGAAGTCGGGGGTTCACACCTGCTTTGTCCGAGGAAGCTGCCTAAGGCAGCATCCGTGTGCGTGGTCACCGAGAGGCAGTCAAGAAGCACGGCAGAAGCTTCAGCGTTGCTGGACGGATGAAAGGATGGCGCACGACCTGCTGTCGAACGGCATCGTGCCTGCCTGCGTCACTGTGCACCAGGCCTCGAGACTGCAAGATAGAAATCGGTGACAGATCCGGATCCCCAGCAGGCGTTGCGACACTGCGGGGCGAAATCCATCCGGCACCTCCCGAAAACCGTGGAGCTGCTGGCAGCACCTGCCGGGCGCCCGACACGCGCTCTACTCCATCTCTCTCATCTCTCCGCAATCTCTGCAAGGCGGAGATTAGATCAGAAAGGCTCTTGGAGTTTGATCTGCGACCTTTCAACACCCTCCGCGGCGACCTTAGGCGCAGGTCAGCGGTCAAAGCATGCCAAAGTTAAGTGCGCTGTCACTGCCCACTCTGCCGAATCTATGCCCAGACCACGCCCGTAGACCCTTTGGCCAAGGTCACACATCCTCCAACGACAAAGCAGACTTTTGGTGGTGGCCGGTCTGCTACTTGACAGTTGCAAGACGCAATGAGGGTACCAACGAGCATTGAGCATCATTTAGCACCAGGTACGGATGGGGAGCCAGCCCAACACGAACTGTGCTCTCTTGGGGCCTGCGTCGCCTGGCTGCACCTGTGAGCACCTGGTTCATGCGAGACCGACCACGATGTGTCAGGAAAACGCTTTGCGGCTTTGATTTCGACCGTTCGCCCGAGATCACTCTGGATGAGGCGAAGACACACACAAGGCATCTGCTGTGCTTGAAATTCGTCCTGGCATCGACTCGCAGGTCCGGAGGCCAATGAAACTCCAAGCAGACAAGCGTGGTCGCTGCAATTGCGCTGCGGACAGCAGAAAGGTTCCGTCCGAAAGCTTCACTGACGGGAGCTTTCCAGAGGTGTCACTGTGTGGTGGGTCGCAAAGTCTCCAGCTCAGACGGACGTACTTAAGGCTGCAGTCACTTAGAAACCTTCGGAGACATGTTAGGTTCGGAGACGAAGAGTATTCAACACGTCCTGATCTGGAGAACCGGGACGCTCCCTCGTCGCATACTCAGGGTCGGTTGGATACCGGGTTTGATTGGTGATTGGGAGGTTGGGAGTTTCCTGCGAGGCATGGGCACTCTGAATGGAAGCAGGCCGTCCACTACCTGGCAGGCTCGAAGTGCAGGCACAGATGGAACAACATGGCTTTGGCAGTGTCCAGGAGAGACGTCTGTCTTCCCAGGAGATGTGATTGCCGACGCCTCACTTCTGTCCATCGTTCTGCGGGCCTTGTCTCGTTTGCCACAGTTGGTGTCCTGGAGGACTTGCAGGTCTCCGTGACCCCACGCTTCACCTTCCGCATGATGCAAGAAAGTCTGGTGCCTACCAAGCCGAACGTTGCTCTGTAAAAGCATGCGCCAGGCACGAGCTGAACTGTACTGGAACACCTCAGAAGTTTGATGCTGATGGTGTTTCGTCGATCCTGTGGTCTGTCGGTCACTTGATCCCATCACTCTTACGCGATCGCTCCCGAGTCGTCCTAGTGGCCGCTATATTCACAGGCGCGTCTCTGGTTGTTCAACATGAGAGCTCTGCACGTGTGGGAGTTCAAGACTTGTCCAAACAAGCCGAGCTCGGCCGCAACCATTGCAGGAAACGCTTAGCTGTGTGCCTGGGGCACACTGCATTGCTGTTTCGCAGTTGAGTCTCAGGAAATCGATTGGTGTCCACTCTCGGGATGCAAGGTGGTGTATCGAATCGTTTGTTCACCCGTTTTGACAATGACACAGACACATTCCCAAACCACTGCGCTTCGGGATCATGATGGTGTAGAGGAGTTGCATGCAGCATGTATGTTTGCGTACCTATCGGGTGACTTCCAACATTTAGTAAGCATCCCCTCGACATGCGGTGGAGGATCTTAGCTAAAACAGGTTAGTGCTGGGCGATAAAGGATGCGAAGGATCAAGAGCAAACAATTGTGGTGGGATCTTTTGCAACTACCGGTGCGTTTGCTCCGAAAGGGGGAATACCACCAAGTTCATGACGGATGACCAGGAAGCAAATTGCAGGAAAAGGGAGCTGCATCGCCGTGCTGTTGGCACGATTTTGGCTGTAAACAGCTGTTCGGCAAGCACTGCGACTAGACTGTCTTTGGAGTTGTTCCCCGTCGCTAAATGGAAGCCCTGAAACATACAATTTGCCACGTCTGCATGTAGAAGTAGAAGAAGAAGTGGTAGTAGCAGCAGCAGGATGATCCTATCTCTCAAACTCGACCCCTCGTTAGACGATGGCGGTTGATCTCGTCTCTCAAGCCCGCCCCCTCATTCGGCGATGGCGATTGATCTCATATCTTAAACCCGGCCCCTACGCAGACGATTGCGGTTGACCTCGTGTGTTAAACTCGCCCCCTCATCAAGCGATGGCGGTTAGCTCGTCTCTTAAAGTCCACCCTTCTTAAACCCGATCCCTGGTTGGGCGATGTCGGTTGATCTCAGCCCGGCCCGTCATTAGCCGATGGCGGTTGATCTCATGTTTTAGACTTGCCCCGTGACTAGGCGCTGCGAGGGAGCCACGGGACCAAGAAGCCACAGAGTCAAGAAGTCAGGAGCCGCAAAGCCAGGAAGCAGCGAGACCAGGAAGCCCGGAAGGCACGAAGCGGCAAAGCCAGGAGCGTGCATCACTAATTGCCTGTTGATCGAACTATCCCAATGTTGAACCTTGCGATCGTTTTTGATCATTTTTTTTGATCTCTCTCCCTGCAACATGATGCTGCTTCTCGTCGGTCGCAGAACGTACGAAACATTTTTTCAGAGTTTCGTGCGTCTGAGCGGTTGGGAGGTTACAGAGTAGTCGTTCAGGCACAACCTGGTCAGATGTTTCAGCCCTTGTCCTAGGATGTCCCGGAACATGCCTGTCACTTTGCACGGCAATCCGCTTGACATGCCAGGCCCAATGTCAGTGGAGGTGCCCATGTGGCAGCTTGGCAGCTACGAGTCAAACGCAATCTAGAAGCAGCTTCAATCTCAGCATGTTTCACCCAGGGTGCAGGCTCCGACAAGCACTAAATTCTCAGCGACGCTGCCCATCCTGCCATGGCCTTTGCTACTAAACGCAAGTGCAAGAGTTTTGAAGAGTCAAAGCACGGGAGAAACACAAAGCTGCAGGCCCTATCATTTTCTGATGATGACAGACATGGAGAGGGCTCAGGCTAATGCTGATCATTGCTGAACACTTTCAAGCCCGCCGAACAAATCTCGAATTGGGGAGGTTTACCAGCGGGCGATTCGCGATGCAGCCCGGAGCTCAAGGAGAGCTATTGCGAGCGCAGTGAATGCCTTTGAAGCCAAGGTGCAAGCCCAGCGGAAAAAGCTCGGCCGCCGACCGCGGGTGTTGGACGCAGGCGCGGCGTGGTCCGGATGCGATGCGAGACTCTTCCAGTCTCAGCTTTTTCGAAAGGGTCTGGCATTGGCCTGCTCGGCATGATGGCGGCGCACGCGCCTGAGAGATCATTGGCTCTGTCCACGCAGTGTTTGGGTCGACCCCTGCCAAGGCTGGAGGGTGCAGAAGTTTGGCTTTGTGAAGCTGCCCGGGACCGCAGAAACTTCCCGAGAACGCCGTGTCAACGAACTCGAAAGCATGCCGCCAAGGTGCCCCTGATGCGCCAGACCTGCCGTGAGGCTAGAGACGTGCAGTGAAGAGCAGCGGATCACGAGATATCACAGCGACGATGGGTTTTCGCGCGAGGTGGTGGCAGCCAACGCAGCACTGATTACCGAAAAGCGGGGTATGGTGAACTTACTGCCCCCGATGATGTCAACCAGGCTTCAGCCGTTTGCCAAGTGGAGAAAACCAGGCCAGTGCCTTTCTTCGGTGCCTTGGCCAGGCTCGTGGTTGGCGAAGACGTAGCGGAGAAGTTCGACATAGTGAGGACCTAAAGTAGACATGAGACGAGAGATAACTGAGATGCAGACTTCCTGAGTTTGCTTCCATGCGCTCCTACCGAGGTCGTCTCGGAGGCCGGTCTCAGCCGCACCGTGAAGTGAATCGGGGACTCCACTTACAACGTGCAATCGTTTCTTTCCCGTGGCAAGGTGATGGACCTCTGGTGCTTGGGTGCGATGCATGGTTCGGGTATAAACATGCGCCTCGAAGATCGCCGTATGCTAGCCCGAGGTGAAGGCATCATTCCCACGATGCGCCATGCGCACAAGAAGCTTCTGGCTGAGACCGGTGTGCTCGGGCCCCGGAACAAGGTTGCACGAGAGGAGCGTATTTCCCCAAGAGATTCAGGAAACAAGGTCACGTGCTGATAAAAACCCTGGTGTTTTGAGGCTTCCTTGCAGGCTTGTAGAGGCCGAATGTACT